TGGTCTCGATCTCTTGACCTCGTGATCCACCCGCCTCGGCCTCCCAAAGTGCTGGGATTACAGGCTTGAGCCACCGTGCCCGGCAACCCCATTATTTCTGTTTATGCTCTGTGCTGTCTACTTTTTTATTTTATAAACTTAATATCCTATTTAAAAATATAATCAGCTTTTTTATTTATGTGATCAATTTTTGGCTAATTTATTAACTTCTACTTTTATTCCCTTCTTTTGCTTTTTTATTTTTATTGATAGCTTTTCTAACTTTGAGTCAGATATTCAATGCAGTTATGTTCTTTCTTCATTAAGATAAGGGTTTCTGAACTCTATTTTAGCTCTGTTCCACAAGTTCTAATGTATAGTGTTTTCATTATGCTTTTGTCTGAGATGTTCTATAACTTGTTTGGTTTCCTCTGTGATCTAAGAATTATTTTAGTAGAAATTTAAAAATGCCCAGGTGATAGTATTCTTTTTCTTAAGTTCTAGTTTTATTGCAATGAGATCAGAGAATGCTGTATATGTTTACTTTGCCTTTTGAAATTCTTTGAAATTTTTTTTGTGTGATTTTTTTTATAAGACTCCCCAAGGCTTGTCTTTAATAATTAACTTGTCTTTCCAAATCCCTATTCAGAAAGGCATTTGATAAGTGTTCTTATAGCTGATATAATCTAAATTAAGAACAGATTACTGGTGTGTGCATTTTCCATTTTTCTTTTTTTTTTCCCCTCTTGTTTCTAATGTCAAGAATGGCAAAGCTGCCTGCTTCTAATTTATATAGCTAGGGTCAACATAGTGTCTGGCATATGAAGGAGCTCAATATGGAATGATTAAATGCAAATAAAAATAAATTTTCATTTCTCCTGGTGGGTAACGTATGATTTGGATATGAATATCACCAAGGTTCAACATGGAACTCTACTTGCTGCATTCCCAGTTGCCCATTGAACTCAAAAGTTTCCTGAGTTACTAAATACCAAGCAGCACTTACCAATTCAAACAAATATTGAGACATAAAAGAAATTTCCTTATACTTTCCTATGTATTAAAAACCAACCTACTCATAACAGATTCTGTAGTACTCATGATGACAGAATTGTGAATGAGGCCCTTTCCTGTGTATTAAGCAATTAGGTTTCTTCCAAACAACTGAAGATAAGCTCAAAACAAACTACTGGCAAAACAAGGCAGGCAAAATGAAATGTAATCTTCTTCCTATTTCTTTATCATTTTCTTCTTCATAAATAGAAATCTACATAACATTCCATCTCTGGGGGAATTTAATCTTATCACTTTTTTCTTTTTTTTAATTGCATTTTAGGTTTTGGGTTACACGTGAAGAACATGCATGATTGTTGCATAGGTACACACCTGGCAGCGTGATTTGCTGCCTTCCTCCCCTTCACCTATATCTGGCATTTCTCCCCATGCTATCTCTCCCCAGCTCCCCACCCCCCCATCCCTCCCCCATTTCACCCCAACAGACCCCAGTGTGTGATGTTCCCCTCCCTGTGTCCATGTGTTCTCATTGTTCAACACCCGCCTATGAGTGAGAACATGCGGTGTTTGATTTTCTGTTCTTGTGTCAGTTTGCTGAGAATGATGGTTGAGAATGATGAAATTTTCTTTATGGTCTATTTTTATAAAAAAAATTTTTTCCTCCATGTTGGTCAGGCTGGTCTCGAACTCCCAACCTCAGGTGATCCGCCTGCCTTGGCCTCCCAAAGTGCTAGCATTATAGGTGAGAGCCACTGTGTCCAGCCATTTTTGTGAATTTGATATTCTTAATTTTCAGGATACAAAGCTTGACAAATACCAAATATTTACTTCATTTATTATTTTATTATTTGCACTTTCTTTCTTTCTTTTTTTTTTTTTTTTTTTTTTTTTTT